TCCAGTCTGGGCGATGGAGTGAGACTCCGACTCAAAAAAAAAAAATATTTATCAGTAGCCCGAAATCACCTGTCACGTAATCCTGCCCTTTGCTCTGATAGAGTTTGTACCTGGGAGAATTGAATTATATATTTGCTGAATTTTCCTTCTTGTCTCTCTGGATATTTATCCTGTGCAAGTGAAGTGTTAACTTTTTGCCTTCTTTCCCTGCTGCTTCAAAGGTCCATTATGACAAATCTTACCCAAAAGCTGTTGAAAGAACCAGTGGGCCCTCCTCCTCCACTGTCAAAGCTGTCGAAAGCCCTCACACGCCCAGAGGTCCCAGCACCTGCCTGGCTCTTGTTGTCTTTACCTCCTCCGCGTGATATCATTTTAATAGAATCTAGTCCTGCACACTCCAGCAACTTTCACGTTCTAAATGTTGGCATGGATTCAAGTTCTACATTCCAGTAATAACAAAGTTCAATTAATAAGAGTTGTGAAACACCAGTGACTGCAGAGATTGCCTAATTATTTCTGCCAACTACAGTGGGAACACTCCATATCCTCCAAGAGATGAACATTTTCGGGACTTGAAATGCAAGTCTTTCTCAATGACTGAGGATTGAGTGCACCCCTAAAGTTTAAAATACACGTTGAGAATTGTTTAAGTAAGGAAAGGAAAGCTTCAAGGTCGGTCATTTTCCCTTCCTTGAGTGTATTTCTGGTTCACATCAGTCGGTTTTGGCATTTCCGTATCTTAGACCGTATGTTTCTCTTGCCCTTCCAAAACAAGGTAGTATCTAAAACTGATCGTCCCCCATTACATCCCTTGGCCACTCATAGAATATTCAAGTTGAAAGTTTGCCTGGGACTTCCAAAGTCTGGTTTCACGGGAGCTGAGAATGAGCCCCTTGGGTTGTGGAAGGTGATTTTAGCCTTGCTGAAAAAATACCACATTTACTGTTTTTTTTTTTTTTTTCTTTCTCTCGTCTGCTTCTCTGCAGAGGGTGGTGGCGTCGCCATGGGGATGTACAATCAAGATAAGTCCATCAAAGATTTTGCACACAGCTCCTTCAAAATGGCTCTTTCTAAGGGTTGGCCTTTGTATCTGAGCACCAAAAACACTATTCTGAAGAAATATGATGGACGTTTTAAAGACATCTTTCAGGAGATCTATGACAAGTAACTATGTTTCTTCCTTTCTCTTTTCTTAAGTCATTTATCATGTAGAATTTATGTCTCCTCCCTTCGCTGGGACAAATAACGCTGGGGCAAAGACCATCACTCTGTCTCAAAGATAAGAGCAGAACTGAGATTTAGCAGGAGTGAAACAAAACCACTCTGAGTCACTTTTAGAAGATAAATGTGATCTTAAGTAAGGGTCCCACATTAATTTTCAGAGCCAGGATTGTCTAATGTTTCAATAAGAGTATGCTGTTCATGATAGAAAGTTCTAGTTTTTCAAGTGTATGAGTATCTGAGCCAGACCGTTTCCATTCTTTCTGAAACCCAGTGTTATCATTTAAAATTTATTCGTGGCTGGGCTCGGTGGCTGAGCCTGCCATCCCAGCACTTTGGGAGGCTGAGGCAAGTGGATTGCCTGAGCCTGCAGGTTCGAGACCAGGCTGGACAACTTGGCAAGACCTCGTCTCTACAATAAATTGAAAAATTAGCCAGGTGTGATAGCACCTGCCTGTAGTTCCGGCTACTTGGAAGGCTGATGTGGAAGGATCGTGAAGCCGGGCAGGTCAATGCTGGGGTGGCTGTGAGACTCCAACTCAAAAAAAAAAAAAATCCATTCATTTGGCCAGACACGGTGGCTCAGTCTGTAATCCCAGCACGAGGCAAGAGGATTGTGTGAGCCCAGGGGTTGGTGACCAACCTGGGCAACTTGGCAAGACCTCGTCTCTCCAATAAATCACAAAAACTAACCAGGCATGGTGGTGTGCATCTGTAGCTCTAGCTGCTTGGAAGCTGAGGTGGAAGGATCCCCTAAACCCCGCAGGTCGAGGCTGCAGTGGCTGTGAGTGTGCCACTGCATTCCAGCCTGGGCAACGAAAGTGAGACTCCAACTCAAAATAAAATAAAATCATTTAAACTTAAGCTTCTAATTCGGCTTCAACAACACATAAGGGGAGCAGGTGTTAACTTTTAAGATGCCATAACTCCTTTTTTTTTTTTTTGAGTTGGAGTCTCACTCTTGTCACCCAGGCTGGAGTGCAGTGGAGTGCAGTGGCACGCTCATTGCCGGCAACCTTGACCTGCTGGGCTCCAGCGATCCTTCTGCCTCAACCTTCCAAGTCGCTGGAACTACAGGCACAAGCTACCATGCTTGGCTAGTTTTTGTGATTTATTGTAGCGATGAGGTCTCACCAAGTTGCCCAGGCTGGTCTCGAACCTCCTGGCTCAGGCAATCCTCTCGCCTCGGCCTCCCAAAGTGCTGGGATGACAGGCTGAGCCACTGCTCCCAGCCCATATTCCCCCTTAGGTGCAGATGTTCAGGCCAGGACTTGGGGTTTAGATGAGAACTCTTTCCTAAAGCATCTTGATTCCTCTTGTTACATCTCTCTACCCAGCCTAGAAACTGTCCTGGAATACATCTAGTTTCCCGAATGATGTCAAGTGACAGAACAGTCTTTTTTCCTTTGTGATATCCTTAAAGTAAGCTGACTCTCAAGAATCTGATCGGGGTCTATTAAAAGCACGCAAATAAAGTAGGAGTTGGGGTAACTCCCTCCTGGCAAGGTGGGTGGAATCACTCTGACGGCCACATCGGGTCTTCACAGCTAGCAAATGATAGGGCAAGGATTTGAGCCTCTGTGGGATTCCCAAGTTTGTGCTGCATCTCCTAAAAATGCTGCTTCCTGGGCCCCTTCCCTCTCTGGGAGAAGTGGATGATATCCCTAACAAAACCAGTAATCCTGTTTATTACTCTCTCCTCTCGCTTGATTCTTAGGCAGTACAAATCCCAGTTTGAAGCCCAGAAGATCTGGTATGAGCATAGGCTCATCGATGACATGGTGGCCCAAGCTATGAAATCGGAGGGAGGCTTCATCTGGGCCTGTAAAAACTATGATGGCGACGTGCAGTCAGACTCAGTGGCCCAAGGTAAGGAGGCAGCGTGTGGTCTGAAGCAGTTGCACCATTCCACGGTAGTTCTCTGGTTCGGGGAGGGGGGTTTTATAACCCCTTTTTGTAAAATCATGGAATGTCAGTGCTGTAAGACATCTAGAGCCACCGTCTCATCCGACAGATAAGGGCATTAGACTCAGGGGAAGTGACTTTACTAAAGGTCACCGGAAAGTTACTGAGTGGACGGACACTCCTGGCTCCAGCCTTAGATGTCGACACAGTTTCTGCCTCAACCTTTTCTCCCACTTGGAGTTTTAAAGCCTGACTTGAAAATCACTCCTTCCCCTGCCCCCATTTCCCTCCGGTGAGAATGTGCAAAGCCAGGGCCCTCAGGCAAGGAGGGTAAAGTGAGGGGCCGGGGTCATCCAGTCACCAGGGTGGGTCTCTCCGAAGCTCAGTCATCTGGCAGCAGGTCCTAACCATGCCCCTCTGCCAGCCTTGAAAGCTGTTCTGGTACTATCTGAAACAAATGTGCTCACTGCTTAGCTTTAAGCACAAAGAGATTGTGCAAAGAAGCCCAGAGCTGTTCCCAGAAATTCCGGGAACCAGGGTTGCTTTTTTTGCCTGGGGTAAAGAACAAGTCCACTGAAACTCTTCTCTCCTTAGTGCCAAGTTGCTCTCCAGTTTCAGTTACTCATGGTAGCTTTGTAAACGTGAGTCTACCCAGATAAGTGTTTGTGTTAACTTTAATTTTATTTGCTTTTCCCCAAGAAGTAGTACTACATTTTCTTTTTTTTTTTTCTTTTTTTTTTGAGTCTGAGTCTCACTCTTTCGCCCAGACTGGAGTGCAGTGGCCACTCCCGGCCACCGCAGCCTCGACCTGCTGGGCTCCAGCGATCCTTCCGCCTCAGCTTCCAAGTAGCCAGAATACAGGCATGCGCTACCACTCCCGGCTGATTTTTTGAGTTTTTGATTTATTGTAGAGATGAGGTCTTGCTGCCCAGGTGGGTCTCGAACCTGCGGGCTCAGGCAAATCCACTCACCTCAGCCTTCCAAAGGCACGGGATTACAGGCTGAGCCGCCGAGCCCGGCTTACATTTTCTCACTTTTATGAACGTTAAGCATCTCCTGTTAGTTTAATAGTCCACAGATGAACCTGGTCAAAGATCGCTCTATATCAAACTAGGCTCAGTGGCTCAGCCTGTAATCCCAGCACTTTGGGTGGCCGAGATGAGTGGACGCTTGAACCCGCAGGTATGAGACCAAGCCAGGGCAACTTGGCAAGACCTCATCTCTACAATAAGTCAAAAATTAGCTGGGTGCGGTAGTGTGCATCTGTAGTTCCAATTACTTGGAGGGCTGAGGTGGAAGGATCACCGTAGCCCACAGTTCAACACTGTGGTGGCTGTGAGCGCGTGGCACTGCGCTCCAGCCTGGGTGATGGAGTGAGATTCTGACTCAAAAAAGCAAAGATCACTCTATATCAGATAAATGAATTACACAACTCTCTTTACCCTCCTTCTCTTTCTCTAAATCCTCAGAATCATCTGTACCAAATGCAACAGAGGACAGAGTGTTGCTTTGCGATGACTCTCTGATGGATAAGAACAACTATTCCTTGTAATTAGAGTTCTAGGAAGGGGCCATTTAAAAACTCCTTTCTTTTGAAACATCCTCATGGCAACAAGAAAGAGTGGCTCAAGAAATATCTCAGATATGAATGTCAAGTTGTGACTGTTCAGAGGACTTCAAAATAAGAGTCCTGACGGGCCATGTGCAAGAGGCCTGGGCCCAAGCCCCATGCCCAGAGCCTGGAGATAATGCCACATCAAGCAGCTCAGCAGATGAGCAGGCAGCGGAGCTGTCCTTCCTGCTTTCCTCTTTAGAGACGTGAGCTATTCTGCACTCACGCCATTTCGTGTGTGGCCTCAGTCTTGACAATGGTACTAGCGAGTATCTCCTCAGACTCAGGCAGACTCACCATGGGTCTGGGCCTGAACTTCTGTAGCCAGTAAAGATTTGATTATCTGTGAAGCCCAGATACTTCAACAGTGGGATGGAAGGAACTACTCATTCCACACAGAAATTTCTAGTTGTACTCAAAGACCACTCAAAAAATCCAAATAAAATTATAGTTCATCTGCTTGGACCAAAAGAGCATAGCAGCCTATCGTAAATGTACATTGTTGATTTGCGGGGGCCCTTAGACAGTAGCAAAAATGGAAAAAAGAAAATCAACTGTACCGACTTAACAGTTGGGATGTGGTTCTCTAAATGAGAAGCCAGAGAAGAGCACTGTGAGGGGTCAGCAGGATGTTCTTGGATGCAGCCCATTATGTGTTTTGTGGTTGTTGCTTTTTGTATTTGGGGGTTTTTTTTTGAGTCGGAGACTCGCTCTGTCGCCCAGCCCGGAGTGCAGTGGCACGCTCATGGCCACTGCAGCCTCGACCTGCTGGACTCGGGCGATCCTCCTGCCTCAGCCTTCCAAGGAGCTGGAACTACAGCCACCACGCCTGACTAATTTTTTGATTTATTGTGGAGACAAGGTTTCGGCAAGTTGCCCAGGCTGGTCTTGAACCCCTGAGCTGAGACAGTGCTCTCGTCTCTGCCTCTCAAACTGCTGGGATCACAGTGTGGTCTCAGCCCCACGAGTGTATGAGAAACTTGGCAGGGAGGCGGCTCTCATCCATCTTTATTTCCCCAGAGCCGTGGCACGTGTGCACAGAAGAATAACAGTAATAGTGAGCTTCTACTCTGTGACCAGTACTAGTTTAGGGGCTATGAATACATGTTATTTTCCTGTGTGTTTGTGAATACACATGTGTTCCTCTAACCCTTCAACAGCTCATTGAAGTAGGAGCTTTTATTCCCGTCTTACAGAAAGAAAGCTGAGCCACGGTAGCTGTGGGGTTGCAGAACCAGGACTGAGTGCAGACCGTCAGGGCCCTCTGTCGTGGAGCTGGCATCCCTGAGATAGATGAGGCAAAAACACAGCTTTCCAGACCCGTTAGCTCTGAGGTCTGGAGCGAGGGAGGACCCGGCTTTATAAAGGCAGGAGAATTGCTGATGGCTCCATGTGCTCACGTGTGCTTTGCTTGCTAAGACCTGTCAAGATTGAGTCACTTACTCGTCTCTGAGGGACCCAGCACTCTCCGTGCGGTTGAACCCAGGGCTTCATCTCTGCCACTTGCAGGCTACGGCTCTCTTGGCATGATGACCAGCGTGCTGGTGTGTCCAGATGGCAGGACAGTAGAAGCAGAGGCTGCCCACGGGACTGTAACCCGTCACTACCGCATGTACCAGAAAGGACAGGAGACGTCCACCAACCCCATTGGTAAGATGGTGTGTGCTTCCACATGAACCAGAGAGCGCTCTCCAAAGATCTCCAAAGCAACTCAGATGTGTCTCTTTAGCTGCTCGGTGTTTTGTGTGCAGAGTCATCACCAAGTAACTGATTTGTTCTACTAGTAGGAGCTATTTTGATAGGCTTCTTAAAATACGCGATATATGCTTTTCTATTTTGTGGGAGAATGTAGGTTGCAGAGAAGAATGTTATCAACAAGCATTTTCCTTTACCTCTGGTGCGGTGAAGTGTCACAGAAGGTTACAGATCCAAAAACTACATGGGATAGGTTCTTCCAACAAGCTTCAAGGACATACTTTAAAAAGAGATGGCAGCCTGGAAAGAGGACATCAGTATAGACAAGAGAGAGAGGAGTTTGTGGCCATTTACAAATTAGTCAGTGCCTTAAGCTTCAAGCACTACCACATCATGAAAATGTGCTTTCTTAAAGTTTCTGTTTGGTGAAATATTTCCAACTTTCCTAAAACTTCTAGCCCATGTGGATGGCATCTAATGAAGTCTGTCACCTAGACAAAAAATTGTTCTGTTTGGGAGAACTGTGAAACATTTGGGAATCCTTACAACTGGGGTGACTGGAGTATTGTGTGTTTTTTCCTCTTTTAGCTTCTATTTTTGCTTGGACCAGAGGGTTAGCACACAGAGCAAAGCTTGATAACAATAAAGAGCTTGGCTTCTTTGCAAAGGCTTTGGAAGAAGTCTGTATTGAGACAATTGAGGCTGGCTTTATGACCAAGGACTTGGCTGCTTGCATTAAAGGTTTACCCAAGTAAGTATAAGATGCCCTAAACTCTGGTCTAATGACCACTTATCCTCATGGGCTTAAAACTTCAGTACTTTTGGAATTCTGCAATTGGCGTTAATCATCTAGTTCAGGAGTCAGTGGACATTATCTGTAAATTGTCAGATAGTGAACATTTGCTTTGTGGGACAGTCTTCACAACTACACAGCTACTCAGCTTTGCCTCTGCCATTGTGGAAGGAAGGCAGTTGAAGACCATGCAGAAGTGAACACATACGGCAGCATCCCAGTCGAATTTTAATGTTCAGAGGCTAGATTTGGTCCACATGCCAGGCTGTTGTTTGCTGGTCTTGAATCTACTTTAGAGTCACTGAGTGACAAAGCTGTATTTAATTTTAAGAAGACAGCTAAAGACAATTAGAAACAAAGGGACTTTGGAAGCTTTTCTGTTTTATTCCTTTTAACTTACAGGTGAGAAGTGAGCAGCACAGCCATAAGATGTCCAGGTCACTCTAGTCTCTTCTTAAGTGTCTGTAACCATCAGCGAAATATTTGAGGACCCGTGTGTTGCACCGGGTTTTTCTGAGGACACAGTAGCCAGTATCTGCTGGATTAGCTGTTGATCCAAGACTCTTCCCTCAAAGTCAAAGTTAGTTACCATGCCTTACCTCTAGAAACACCACTAAAATTTGACACAAATACCATGTCTCAACCAGCATGTCCTCAGAGATCTCAGGGTCAGTATAGGGTCCTGGGATAATAGGGAGATACTCAATCACTACATGTTTCTTAACTTAATCAGCAAAATTACAGTATTTCAGATTTTCTTACCACTGTAATAACTTTGTAGCCTGCTTGGTAGGCACCTATCAGCAGGATATGTTAGCTAGTCCATTGTCTTCTGTTTTTCTTAAGTAAAACACTGGTAGAAATAAGAGCTTTAAAACTGTTTAAAGCCGGGCTCGGTGGCTCAGCCTGTAATTCCTTCCGTGCCTTTGGGAGGCTGAGGTGAGTGGATTGCCTGAGCCTACGGGTTCAAGACCCGCCTGGGCAGCGAGACCTCATCTCTACAATAAATCAAAAAATCAGCCGGGCGTGGTAGCGCATGCCTATAATTCCGAATACTTGGAAGGCTGAGGCAGAAGGATCGCCGTAGCCCAGCAGGTTGAGGCTGCGGTGGCCGGGAACGGCCGCTGCCCTCCAGTCTGGGCGACAGAGTGAGACTCCAACTCAAAAAAAAAAAAAAAAACTTTTTTAGGGCAGAGCACAGTGGCTCATGCCTGTAATCCCAGCACTTTGGGAGGTGGAGGAGAGAGGATTGCCTGAGTCCAGGGGTTCAAGACCAGCCTGGGCAACTTGGTGAAACCTCATCCCTACAATAAATTTTATTTTATTTTATTTTTATTTTTGAGTCAGAGTCTCACTCCTCCCACCTCAACCTTCCAAGTAGCTGGAACTACAGGCGTGAGTCACCACACCCAGCTAATTTTCTGATTTATTGTAGAGTTGAGGTCTTGCCATGTTGCCCAGGCTGGTCTTGAACCCATGGGTTTAGGCAATCCTCTCACTTCTGCCTCCTAAAGTGTTGGGATTACAGGTGTGAGCCACCGTGTTTGGCTACAATCAATTTTTTAAAAATTAGCCAGGTGTAGTGGCACATACCTGTGGTTCCAGCTACTTAGAAGGCTGAGGCAGAAGGATTGCCTGAGCCCAGCAGGTCAAGGCTGCGGTGGCCGTGAGCATGCCACTGTACTCCTACCTAGGTGACGATGAGACTCTGACAAAAAAAAAAAAAAAAAAGGCAAAAAACAAAAAACTTTTTTAGGCTGTGCATGGTGGCTCACGCCTGTAATCCCAGCACTTTGAGGAGCTGAGATGGAAGGATTGCTTGAGTCTAGGAGTTCGAGACCAGCCTGGGCAACGTAGTGAGACCTCATTCTACAAAAAAATTTAAAAATTAGCTGGGCATAGCAGCATGTGCCTGTAGTCCCCAGCTACTCAGGAGGCTGAGACGGGAGGGTCACCTGAGCCCAGGAAGTTGAGGCTGCAGTGACCCATGATGGTGCCACTGCACTCCAGCCTAGGTGACTGAGTGAGACCCTGATTCAAAAAAAATTTTTTTTTAAAGGTCAAATAAGTTTGGGTAAAGGTTTGGAAGTACTCGGAATAAGTTTTGTTCTTTTTAAGAATGAGGAAGAAGTAGTGAGATGATTTTTGTCTGACGGGCGTTAGTCTGAACTGAAACTTTGGTGATAGTTTCGCCCTGAAAGCTACACGGCAGGAAACGTTTCCTCTGGATGTGGATGTGTATGGAGGAGTCTTCGCCACAGGCTGCCTGGGAAGCCTGAGTCCTACGCTGGAGTCGGCCGTAGGATCCTTGAACCCCAGTCATCACCTGTAGAGTTGTAGCTTGCTAACATTCATTGATTTTCTTCCAGAAGTCAATAGAATACTATTTTACATAGCATTTCGAGTGCTTTTCGTCTCTCTGCTGTCACAGCAGAGACAAGTTAAATTTTCTTCTTTTTTGTCTCCCCTGTTAGCGTGCAACGTTCTGACTACTTGAATACATTCGAGTTCATGGACAAACTTGGAGAAAACTTGAAGATAAAACTAGGTCAGGCCAAACTTTAACGTCCTAACTGGGCTTGGGAGGATAAGTGTCCTTTGGTAACTAGGCCCACAGGTTTACATTTTTCTCTATGACACTCAAGGGTAAAGGCAAAATCAATTTTATAATTTGTTTTTAATTCAGAGTTTATCTTTTCTATAAGTTTCAGTCTCTTTCTTATACATACTGTTACTGCCTCCTTCATGAATGTGGCAGGGGACTTTATTAAAATTTTATTTTATGTTCAAATAGCAGCCTAGGAATTTGTTTAGTACTCACTTGTATTCACTGTCACTTTTTCTCACGTTCTGATACAAATGACCAAAATCAAGCGTGCTCAAAAGGGTAAATGATAGCCACTGAATTGTTCCCTAAAATATTTATAAAGTAGAAATTCACTCCCTTCCCTTCTGGCCCATTACCTTGGACACTGGGAGGTTTTGGTGTTATGGACGTCCCTTACGTGGAGTAGAGCTGTATGTCGAACTTGCATGTGATTAGAACAAAGGCTGAGTGCAACTAAAGTGTGTTGAAGACACTGCTGTCGTTTTGTAAAAAGCTTGTTGAATGTTTCCAATACACTAAATATTTTGGAGGCCATTGGAGATTTCAGAATCCAGAATTAATACTCCCTAGAGGTGTGTCCTCTGTTTGTCTCTTCCTTCTCCTGGCCTATGTATTATGCTACCCTAAATAGCATATTTCATCCAAGTGCAATAGTGTAAACTGTGTCTTTTTTGGACTTCTGCTGGCCTGTTTCATTTCTTTTGTATAAATGTGATTTCTCAGAAGTTGATTTTAAACACTATTCTAGTCCTATTCTTCTTCCAAACTGTTAACTTCAATTAAAAGTAAATGTTAATGACTATTCTTCTGGGTTTTTATTTCGTGTACTTGGATGCCAAACACCATGCTGTGTCCTAGCTGTAGGAATTTGATTTGAAAAAAATCTCTGCTCTCAGGAAGTTGACTGTGGGGGAGAAAAGATAAATAAGCAATAAGATATGGAATCAGCTGGGTTCGGTGGCTCAGCCTGTAATCCCGCGCCTTTGGGAGGCTGAGATGAGTGGATTGTCTGAGCCCGCGGGTTCAAGACCCGCCTGGGCAACTTGGCGAAACCTCATCTCCACAATAAATCAAAAATTAGCTGGGCGTGGTAGCGCGTGCCTGTAGTTCCAGCTACTCGGAAGGCTGAGGCGGAAGGATCACTGGAGCCCAGCAGGTCGAGACTGCGGTGGCCAGGAACGGCCACTGCACTCCAGTCTGGGTGACAGAGTGAGACTCCAACTCAAAAAAAAAAAAAAAGATACGGAATCTACAGGGAGAGGAAAAAGGATCAAAGATGGAACTCAAGGAGTGAGGAGGGAATTGTAGAGAATAGATTGCATCTGTGCGCGTGCCAAGGTGAGGTATTACCTTTTGGCTAATAGGGAGCCAGTGAAGACTTTCAAGAAGTAGAGGACTTGGTCATATTTTGATTTTTAGCAATAGCACTCTGGGCAGCTTTTATAAAGAATAGATGGTAGGGGTCGGGGACGGTGGATCAAGTCTGTATTCCCAGCACTGTGGGAGGCCGAGGTAAGAAAAGCCTGGGCAACTTGCTGAGACCTCATCTCTACAATAAATTAAAAAACTAAGCCGGGCTCAGTGGCTCAGCCTGTAATCCCACGCTTTGGGAGGCCGTGGTGAGTGGATTGCCTGAGCCCGCGGGTTCGAGACCCTCCTGGGCAGTGAGACCTCATCTCTACAATAAATCAAAAATTAGCCAGGCGTGGTAGCGCTCACCTATAGTTCCAGCTACTTGGAAGGCTGAGGTGGAAGGATCGCTGGAGCCCAGCAGGTCGAGGCTGTAGTGGCTGGGAGCATGTCACTGTACTACACTCTGGGTGACAGAGTGAGACTCCAACTCAAAAAAAAAAAACTAGGTGTGGTGGTTTGCGCCTGTAGTTCCAGCTACTTGGAAGACTGAGGTAGAGGGATTCCCTGAGCTGGGCAGTTGCGGCTGCAGCGACCCTCAGCGTGCCACTGCACTCCGACCTGGGTGACAGAGTGAGACTCAGACTCAAAAAAAAAAAAAAAAAAAAGAATAGATGACAGGGGTTGGGCAGGAGAGTGGTATGCCCAGTTGAGGAGGGAAGACCAGTGAGGGGACAGCTGCCGTACTTTAGGTGGGAAATGGTGAGATCTGATGGGAACTGTGGCAGGACCAAGGAGATGTGAGGGTTGAGGGAGAGGAGAAAGGCCAGGCCACTTCCCAGCATCTTTGAGAGGGAGGCTCAGGTGAACTTTTGCGCTCTCGTGCCTCAAAGGTCTGTGGTTGGGGTGGGTATCTCTTGGTTCCTTCTAGTCTGCCTTCCTGGCAAGCTGGGAGTTGGGCTCCTGACCCTGCCTCAGTGCAAATTCCCTTGAGATCCAAGGAAACATGGAGCCTCTCAAAGCCCCATGGGAGGGAGCTGAATCAGGATGTGCTTTTCATCCCTTTCCCTCAGTGAAACCCTCGGGAGATACCTCAGTCCAAGCCCACAGACCTACAACAGCCCCGGGACAGGAGGCCCTCAGGAAGGAGAGGAAGTCCACGGGGCTTGACCCAACTGAAGTTAGAATCCAAGCCACATGAGCTCTCCTGGCAGTAGAAATCAAAATCAATGTCACATAAGATAAGCCAGATCTCTCAGACCATAGTTAAGACTTATACTTGAAACATCAAGAGGAGCAATAAATATTTTCATCTCCTATCCAAATGTTAAGATATTTGAATAAAAGAGTCTGTGTGGTTGGTGAAAGGAGTAGGGATACATATAAATTGGAAGACACATCACAACATTTCTTGGCTTCGGCAACATTGTGAGCTGGTAAGTTCATTTTCAACGAGTCTGCCTCAATGCAAAGACATGCCAATGACTCATTTTAACAATGCCTGGAAATTTTTTTTGTTTGTTTTTGAGTTGGAGTCTCACTATTGCCTAGGCTGGAGTGCAGTGGCACGCTCCCAGCCACCACAGCCTTTACCTGCTGCGCTCAGGTAATCCTTCTGCCTCAGCCCGTCAAGTAGCTGAAACCACAGATGCATGCCACCACGCCCGGCTAGTTTTTGTGATTTACTGTAGAGATGAGGTCTCACAAGTTTCCCAGGCTGGTCTCAAATCCCCAGGGTCAGGCAATCCTCTCGCCTCGGCTTCCCAAAGTGTGGGGATTACAGGCTGAGCCACTGCGCCCAGCCAGGAATATAAATTATTTCTACATACTTCCATATTTTCTTTTATTCTCACCAGAGTCTTAAGAAATTGATTGTATACTGATTTTGTATAAGAAAGCAAACCCTAGGTTAACTAACACTTTTCGTCTAAACTTACAACTCTCTTTTAACTGTTAGAGCATTTGTTTCCTCTTCCATTGACAAAATTTTAATAAATTGAAAAAGTGGGACTTGGGTGCAATGGCTCACACCTGTAATCCAAGCACTTGGCCAGAGTATTGCTTGAGCCCAAGGGTTTAAGATCAGCCAAGGCAACATAGTAAGACCTTGTCTCACTCAGTCAATCAGTCGAATTAGCCAGTTGTGGTGGCATACACCTTTAGTCCCAGCTGCTTAGGAGGCTGAGACAGAAGGATCGCTTGAGCCCAGGGGGTTGAGGCTGCAGTGAGCCGTGATCATGCCACTACACTCCAGCCTGGGCAAGTGAGACCCCGCTCGAAAATTAATCGTTATTTAACTAAAAGAGTTTTGTTTCCACTATCCTTTTGCAATAAATAGCTGCCTGTGTGGTAGGCAGAGAATCTGTCATTACCAGGGTGTTACGGGGAAGGAAACTGAAGCATTGAGAGTAGGTGTGGTCCAAGTTGCAGCAGACATCAGCGGCCGCTTTGGAGCCAGGCATCCTCAGAGCAGAGCGGTTGCTGCATGTTTCAGGCTTGGGTGGAAGGAGGAAGCATCAGACGGGGGGAAATGACGGCACCGGATGGCCTGATTTTTTTTTTTTTTTGAGTCGGAGTCTCCCTCAGTCACCCAGACCAGGGTGCAGCGGCCGCTCCTGGCCCCCACAGCCTCGACCTGCTGGGCTCTGGCGATCCTTCCACCTCAGCCTTCCGAGTAGCCAGAATTACAGGCACATGCTACCACGCCCGGCTGATTTTTTGATTTATTGTGGAGATGAGGTCTCATCAAGTTGCCCAGGCGGGTCTCGAACCCGCAGACTCAGGCAGTCTATTCATCTCGGCCTCCCAAGGCGTGGAATTACAGGCTGAGCCACCGAGCCTGGCTGGATGGCCTGATCTCAATGAAACAGTGTCCCCAGCGTTCACAACTGGCCTCAGAGCTGGCCAGATGAGTAATACACCGAAGTTTATCAGGGTCAGCATTCGGCTAAGAACCAGTCTATGGGACGGGAGTGGTAGCTCCAGGCTGTGATTCCACTTTGGGAAGCCGAGGCGAGAGGACTGCCTAAGCTCGGGGAATCGAGACCAGCCCGGGCAACTTGGCGAGACCGTATCTCTACAATAAATAAAAAAATTAGCCGGGCACAGGGACGCACACCTGTAGTTCCGGCTACTAGGAAGACAGAGGCAAAAGGATTGCCGGAGCCCAGCAGGTTGACCCTGGGATGGCTGTGAGTGTGCCAGTGCACTCCGGCTTGGGTGACAGAGTGAGACTCCGACTCAAAAAAAAAAAAAAAAAGAACCAGTCTATGTTCTAAAACAAGTGACACATGAACAGATGCTGACTGATACATTCAGAGGCTGATTGTTCATTTTGTCACAATGAGAGGATCAGAATTGTTGATCTGGAAAATGACTGCTCTTTAGTAGAACACCGAAGGCAGCAGATTCCCGGGACAGAGATGGTAAGAGTTCTAGATGTCAAAACGCCCTAAATTGCAGATACTCTTTCTTAGGAAGATTTTTACAGAAAATATTTAAAATGTAAACTCAAAAGCTATAATCAGCCAGGTGCGGTGGCTCACGCCTATCATCCCAGCACTTTTTGTTTTTTTTTTCTTTTTTTCCCGAGTTGGAGTCTCACTCTGTCACCCAGACTGGAGTGCAGTGGCTGCTCCAGGCCACCGCAGCCTTGACCTGCTGGGCTCAGGCAATTCTTCCGCCTCAGCCTTCCAAGTAGCCAGAACTACAGGCGCGTGCTACCACGTCCGGCTAGTTTTTTAATTTATTGTAGAGATGACATCTCGCCAAGTTACCCAGGCGGGCCTCAAACCCGCAGGCTCAGGCAATCCACTCACCTCGGCCTCCTAAAGTGCGGGATTACAGGCTGAGCCACTGAGCCCGGCCACATCCCAGCACTTTGGAAGGTGGATTGTTTGAATCCAGGGGTTTGAGACCAGCCTGGACAACCTGGCGAGACCTCGTCTCTACAATAAATCAAAAAATTAGCCAGGTGTAGTGTCACACACCTGTGGTTCCAGCTCACCAAGTTGCCTAGGCCTGTCTCAAACCCATGGACTCAGGCAATCCTTTTGCCTCAGCCTCTGAAAGTGCTGGGATAACAGGCATGAGCCACCGCACCCAGTGCCAAGACTTTTTGCGGGGGGGGGGGGTGCTGAAACAGTTTCTAGACATGGACATTTCTGAAAAGTACAGGTCAGTTATTTTGTAGAAAATTCCTCAACTTAGATTTTTCTAATGTCTCCTTACAATTAGGTTCAAGTTATGCATTTTTGGCAGAAATATTACCAAAGTGTGTTAAAGAAAAAGCTATTCTGTGATCATTGTTAAAGCAAGATAAGACAGACTTCATCCAGACCCATCGCAATAGGTGTGGTGATCTACTGAACAGAGTCTTTCTCGGGGGAGAGACGGGCTGAACCCTGAATACCGCAGGGGCAAATGAACTTATAGCCAAGGAGCAGGGTGGGGGC